TCGTTTATTCATTTGTCGATATAATTTTTCCAATTGAATTGTTTCTGTTCCTATAGTAACCTGTAATGCAATGTGAGACTAGTTTTGTGTGCGAACTGTTGTCCGCAAATTTCACAAAAATATTTTTTCTCGCCCGTATGCGTAGACTGATGGTTAATTAAATTTGCTTTTGTTTTAAAACTAGCATTGCAGGATTTACAAATGTAAGGTCGGTCGTCCGAATGTACAAGTTGATGGCGTTGCAGTAATTGTTTGTGTTTGAAACTTTTTCCGCACTTGTTGCAAACAAATCGACGACCATCGTTATGTTCTGCCTCTTTGTGATATACTACAGAACTTGGATGATTCAGAACTTTTCCACAAATATCACAGGGATACTCCTTTTCCAATTTATTCCTCTAAAAAACGGTAAAAAAGGTTTCGCTGATCGCGTCTCTTATTCTAGGCGTTTTAATAATATTGTACTACTTACATCGTGTATCGGCATATGAGCCTTTAAAGCTGTTTGTTGAGTAAAACTTTTATTGCAAATAGTACAAATAAATAATTTTTCGGACTCGTGAACCATTTTTACATGTAAATCGTGAGCTTGTTTCGTTTCAAACAATTCGTCGCACTGTTCGCATAAAAGAGATTTCTGGGAATTGTCAGAAATATTTGAAAATTGATTCGTACGTCGTTTTTCTGATAAAGAAGGTTCAAGAACATCGACAATATTATGATCCTCTTCGGATAAAGGTTGCTTCGATTCTGAACGTGGATTTTGAATATCACTTTCGAAACTTTCATTGATATCATCTCCAGTATGATGACTTGCTTTTTGATGTAATTCCAAATTATCTTTACTCGTAAATAATTTTTTACATTCAAAACATTCGTATTTTATTCCCTTATGGAAACTCCTAATTGTCAGAAATATTTTAATTATTTCAATTGTAGTTATTTGAAATACATAAGCAAACCATTTGCTTACTTGTGTACAATGTATCTGCTACGTTGTAAGAAACCTCGACCACATAATTGACATGTGAATTTATTTCTCCTACGACGTAGCTTTGGCCGACCTCGCCCTCTACCTCGATTTACTATCACTAATTCTCCCAAGTCTTTTCCTTCCTCAGATTCTAAGTGACCAATTATTTCTGAAATAGATAAATAAATAAATAAATATTTGTAAGTTAATGCAATAGGATAATTGCTTGTCACCTTCTTGACTATCGGGAACAGACATATTTAATTGTTCCTCAGAATCTTCAACATTATCAGGCTGTTCATCATCTTCTTCATCAATTACTCCTTCTTCCTTATATATTCTTTCTAGTTCCTTGCCTTGGACTGCTTCCATGTATCTAAGTCATTCCATACTCTATTATAAAATGATGGCAATTACAATAAGCTTTTCTGTTTTTAAAAAATACCTTTTAGGAACCTTACGCTTCCTGCGGCGTCTTCCATCTCCATCTATCTCATCTATTTCTTCTTCTTGTTTATCTTCTTCCTCTTGACTTCCTCCTTCTATTCCATCTTTTGCTAATTCCTAAAATTTAATATGTAATATAATACGTGTCAAATAAATATATATTAAGATTTCTAACCGTAGATATGTTTTCTATATGTGTTTTTGGTGGTCGTCCTCTCTTTCGTTTCGGTTTATTTAATCCTTCCATTTGAAGACTCATTTCATGTTCCGCAGCATACATAGAACCATCTGGCATTACTAAAAAAACAAATAACACAATTAACAATCAGTCTATACTTATTCAATTAAGATTTTAATAACAAAACCCTACTTTTTATGATAATTTGTTGTTCAAATTGATCTTCCTCATTATACTGTGAAATATTATCTAACTCAGAAGTTTCTGCTACTGCTTCAGTGTCTTCTTTTCCAGTACGAAGTCGCTCGCGTTCAGCCTTACGTTTTTGTTCTAACTGATGCTTCCACATTTCACGAATTTTCCTCTGACCGTCCACCAATAGTTCAAAGAATTGAATTGTTGCCTCCAGTTGAATATTACAACCAGGGCAGATGGTACGTGGTAATTTACCATCATCTTGAATCTGAAATTAAATTTAATTCTAAATATGAATAATAAACATCTTTAAACAGTATCATAACCTCGAAAGGGAAAAGTGAATAATTTCTGTATTTTCTGTGTTCTACTATTTTTATATAACCCAAGATAATAATTGAAAATCCGAAATTTTTCATACCTTCGGACACCAATTGTTTCAAATAAGAAACTAAGGCGAGAAAATAAAATATTATCAAAAGATATATCACAATTGACGAATAACACCGTAAGTGTATACGAATAAAATATTCATTGTAATTTAATAATAGCTCGTTAACAATCAGATTCCTTACGAGAACGTGCGAAAATTCCTTGGTAATACGACAAAAATACGATATAATAAACAAGGTAAATAACAAACAAGGTCTAAAAAGTATTAATAGGAAATATCGAACATTTGATTCGTGTAGTATTTATATAGAAAGCAGGAAGTCAAGTTGCAGTCTGATGTTTCGAAGGCTCGTACCTTGAGCGGCAAGTACCGATTGACCATGGAACTCAAATCCGGATCGTCGTTATCTCCCGTGTAGAGCAATTCACCATTTCCATTATCCTCCGCACATAATCTACAAATCGTTGAATCATAAAGCCGTACTTCTGCCATGACTCTAAGGGAACTGTTCACTAACGACTAACATCGATATCTTAACCAAAGTGACGAGTGAGTATGTACATTCTACGAGTTCCTTCGTGTTGTGTGTTTTTGCTGTGCGCCATGTAACCTTACTTCGGGATTTTATACATAAATTCTCGGATAATGAATGAATTCTAGCTTTCTCATCTGTAATATTCTTTCATTGTACAGAGCTTGTACAGAGCTTGTACTCTCGCCATAAAAAGAACTTGTGTCACCTGGTGTTACCACACAAGCACGCTGCGCTGAGCCAATCAGCTTGCGCATCCACGGCATTCTACCAATCAGAGGATAAAACATGGCGACGCATTTGGGCGCTATGGACAAGTCTTTTTTATGGCTAGAGTCACGTACATGTATACATACAGGGTGTTCCAAAAACGTTGAAGGTCTTTGAAAGAGGTAGTTCGGGAAGTGATTTGAAACAATTTTTTCCTTAGCGAAAATGTTGCCCGAGGCTTCGTTAAGGAGATATTAACAAAAAACACTGACCAATCAGCGCTCATAAGCTAGCGCGGGCGCTCCAACGTATACGCGCGCTCTGATTGGTCGAGGTTTTCTGTTAACATCTTCTTAACGAAGCTTCGGACAACATTTTCGCTAAGGAAAAAGTTGTTTTAAATCACCTCCCGAACCACCCCTTTCAATGTGTTACAACATTTTTGGGACATCCTGTATACAGGGTGTTTCAAATCACACCCCCGAACCACCCCTTTCAAGGACCTCCAACATTTTTGGAACACCCTGTATACAATTTGTACGTGCATACATGTAATCGATTTTTTTCTGGTTTATCGACTATATGAAATATTCACTAGTATATCGATAGTTTATAATCGATAGATCGACATTTTACTAAAGATCGATAACGTATATTTATTATTTTTTCCTTGAATTGTATTACATACAATTGATAAAATATACAATTGTAAAAGACCCTTTATAATTTTTTATAAAATTGTCTATCAAAGTAGCAAGACACATGGCTTGACTTTTATTGTACTCTTTATTTCCTAATCATTAGTTTCTTGATTAAGTAGTGTATTATTTATCAGCATTAAAAATGGAACAAGAAGAAAATATACAAGAGCAAAATGAATTTTATACTGCGGCTGCCAATTATTGGGATGACATCCCACCGACAGTGGATGGAATGCTTGGTGGTTTTGGATTTATTTCTCAAACTGATATAAAGGGATCCACAGTATTTTTGAAGGCTCTATTCGAGGTGTCTGATAATTTATATGCCATTTAATAGCTAATTTTCAAATATTTCATCAACAATGATTTGGCTAATTTCAGTCAAAAAATCCTCCATCAAAAACCTCTGCGTTAGACTGTGGTTCTGGCATAGGAAGAATAACTAAGAACCTGTTGTTAAATTATTTTAAACATGTCGATTTAGTGGAACAAAATTCAAAATTTCTAGAAGCTGCTAAAACAAATTTAAAAAATTATTCTTCAAGAGTTGACTACTATCCCATTGGTAATATTTAAATTATTAATTAGTTAACCCATTCAGGATAGGCATTATACATGATACTTAGTATAAATGTATCATGCCCATTCCGAATGGATTGAAGAACATTTACATATAGTAATAGAGTCACATTTTAAGGACTCCAAAATTTTCATTTTACTACCAAGAAGTATGATGTCATTTGGTGTCAATGGGTTTTGGGTCACTTAAAAGAAGATGATTTGATAGAATTTCTCAAAAAATGTTTGTAAGTACTTGTTCCTTAATTGTTATATTGATTATTCTGGCTGATTAATGAACAAGATTTTTGTAGGTCAGGTTTGAGGCCTAACGGTTTGATAATAATTAAGGAGAATGTGACAAGTTCTAAAAATTTGGAAGTTGATACTAAGGATTCTTCTGTGACAAGACCTCTATCTGAATTCTATCATATATTTCAAAAATCTAATTTAATTTGCATCAAGGAAGAACAACAACATAAATTCCCACGTGGATTGTATCCAGTTTATATGTTTGCTCTAAAATCTGTTGATAATCTTTAAATTTGATTTAGAAATGACAATAAATTAAGAAATAAATTATTTCATTATTTTTACATTTATCGCTGTACTTCATTCAACGCACAAGATATCATGTAAACAAAATCATGTGTACCGACAACTGAACAGATATTATAGAAATTATTTAATCAACTATTTACATATAGTAAGACTCTTAGAGTCACGTGGTTTTGTTTATACGAAGTTCGAGGAATTGAATATATTAATTATAGCATTGTAAATTTAAGAACTGTTACAATTAAATATAAAAATATTTTAAAAAGTGAGTTTATTTTGGACGTATTTTTTCGTACACAAACCGTTGATTCGTATCTTGAGGGGAGGCATTTATGAGACGTTTCTTCACTGCATGAAAATGTGTTAAAGCAAAATTATACAGTTCGTTCTCCATTTTCCAAACGACGGATTTTTGAATTTTGACTACAGTTTCAGGTCGTGGGTTGACTTTTTGTGTAGTTTGGCGTAAGTGCGATTTATTATCTGAAACGTCACAAATTACTAACATTTCAAGAAATTAATATCTACATTGTTTCCTTCTTACTGTATAAAAAAGAATTGTAAGCTCCTTTAAAAAATCGTGGAAGTACAATTTGTAAAATTTCTACAAATTCTGTTAACTCCTCCGTCACTCCTACTAAAAGGTAATGATTCTGTAAATTTCTTTTAGCTTCTTCTAATGCCCAACTATTTCCAATTTCCCTGTTAAATAATATTTACTTAAATACTAACAGTCTGTTAGAATAATTATGCCTTTCATTATTCAATCTTACCAACATGCAGGATCGTGACCACATAAGAAAGGAATTTGTAACCACATATTATCAGGATCACAATCTGGTTGCCCAGCATCGATACACTCATCAAAAGTCTGAATATAATTAAAAATAAAATTATTTGCATGTCAAATGAGAGTTTGAACTAGTAGCTACTAACCTTTGTGTCACCATGCTTTTTTCTAATTAAATGTGGCCTGAAATTATCCCCATATCTCAAAAAATAATAATAAGAGACAAACCTATCCAAAGGTTTTCGCAAGAGATTTATGTACAAAGGCATCTGTCTTATTCCAAACCTTGAAATATACACTTAATTTAAGGTAATAAAAAAACACATTTTCTATAATAAATACCTTTGTTTACTCACTTTTCGAAATTTAAAAATGCAACGTGACCATGATAGAAGGCTGGTTTCTTTGTGCTCCATTCAGTTATATTATTCGCAAATTGAATCTGCAATTTTTAAATGTACAATCAGGAGATTTTGTAATAAAGTAGAATGAATAAGAAAATTTTAATATTACCTGATTCGGAAGCGTAAGAGTGTGCATGTTATTGGTGACATTGATATGTAAAACATGATATTTATTTTGTTTACACAAATCGTAGACTAAACCTACGAAACTGGTGGATGCTGTTTTTGGTACCCTATTGTAGATAATGACGAGATCATCGAGAGCTGACAATTTGTAAGATTGTTCGCTAACTCCAAGCCCAGTTTGAACATTGTTCTGTTCATGTGTGACGGCATTGTCTGGAAGTACGATAGGATAACCTATGTTATACCATCACCTTCAACAGAATGAAATATTAAAAGGATGATGGTTTTAATGCCACAAATTAATAAAATTACATCCTCTATAATAACGTGTACGCAATAGTTTGTAGTGATCCTCCAGAAAATTTACTTTCACTTTCAGATAGATGATCGTTATTGTGAATATCACTACCAAAATCCATTGTAATAGATAACTCCTATGTATCATTTTCTTTTAGACGCCGTTCATTTATTTTTCTTTAGGCAAATCAGAAAAATACACCAACAATTTTTATGATTAATGCTACCGTTAGTCTAGGTTAATACCGACTCCATACTACTCGAAAATTGCTAATGCACTGATAAATTATAGAAAAAAGGTTTGGTCTGATTTGAGTCAGGGGGGCCAAGCTCTGACGCAATGAGACCGGTTCAAGAGCTTGCGCGCGTATGAATACGTTTACACGGTTTCTGAATTTACTTGGTAAGGTCGATGGTGTAAGGACTCTTACATGTAAACAAGTATTGCGTGTTTATGTTTACAGAGTTTGAAATGAAATTAGTCAGGGTTTCCTGTAGTATCAACATAAAATATGGGTGTCCTTTTCCATTTTGACCCAAAAACGATTTGAAGGGCGGAAATACCCCTACGAAATAATTGTATTAAATGATATACAGGGTGTCCCAAAAATGTTGTAACACCTTGAAAGGGATGGTTCGGGAGGTGATTTGAAACAACTTTTTCCTTAGCGAAAATGTTGTCTGAGGCTTCGTTAAGGAGATATTAACAGAAAACACTGACCAATCAGAGCGCGAGTATGCCGGTTGAGCGTAGGCTACGCGATAGGCGGCCGTGCTCATACGCTACCGCGGCCGCTCCAACGGTATACGCGCTCTCTGATTGGTCAAGATTTTTTGTTAATCTCTTTGAATTTGAATTGTTAATTTCTCTGAAACCGTAAGAGATATTAAACAAATTTTAAATACAAAATTGAATGGTTTTTATTATATGACACCGTGGTAAGAAATAAAAAAAAATTGAGTTCAATAATATTTCCCCACGGAAATAGTTACCATGGTTACCATCTTTCACTAAAGTCGGTAAAACAGGTGGCTAGTTATAGTAGACGGTAATCGAGTTTACCATCTTGGTAATAGATATAAATATATGAGTTTGTGTCATAAAACTGGCGCTCTTAGTCGCTCCAAAGAAAAATAGAATTATAAATGAAAATTAGAAGTACTTCTTAGGGTGCAATAATATTAATTGTGTGGATAAATTATAAAAAAAAGAAAGAAATGGTTTTCCTTGTTTTGGCGCCATACATTGTTTCCTATAGCTACAGAACTGCGCGCTCAGCTTTTTTCGAATATTATAACTTTGAGGCGCGACTTTTGACAGTATTTCTCCATAAGCTCTGAACTAATATGAATAAAAAAGTCCTTTCTGAAACTCGAAAACTATATCCATCATCTGACAAATTTTTAATAAAATGTTATATATCGTAGTAACCTCTGCGTCACATGCACCCCTCTGTAATCCATAATGAACGATTAAAATGATCATTAATCGAATTAAATATTCCCGCAATAACGCGAGAGGAATCTGTTCTAAACGTAGCTGCGACTTACGCACGTTTTATTTGTATAAAAGTTAATATTTTGCTAACGATCGATTCGCAAAGACGATAAAGGAAGACCGAGCATACGCCTGCGCCACGTTCTGTACACATGTACGTACATAATCTTTTATTCCAAGTATTCATACGAAGCGTACAGCAGCGGAAACGAAGTATGTAGCTGGTTCTGTAGCATTTCATTTTTTTTGCACGCGATCATTACGAAGTGCCCGGGACGATCAAACGTTCGCGTAAACAGAGAAAACAATTGAAGATGCGCGACAACGTAAGTTTTTCACGAACAATGGAGTTGCTCGCGAGGAGACAGCTACCACTTACCACACCGTTGCACTAACAATCGATCTATTGCACCCTATGTTCCTTCCAATATTCCCCCCACCCTTTTCTCCCGATATCTTTCGCTACTTTTCTTACCATCTTTGTTAACATTTCGAAACGTACGACAAACTGGCTGCGACGCGAAACAAGAATCGAATGCGATGCAATCTATCGAAAATGAACTGTTTATTTTGCAGGAAGGATTGACGTTATATCTATTGCTGGCGTTAGTTCTATGTGCAGAGGTACACACAACGGGTACGAGACATCTGATCAAGAAAAGAAATTACAGCGATCAAAGCGTGAGAGGTTATTTGGCGGAGGTAAACAAACGTGTAAAGGGCCTAGCCGATTAAGATGGTCGAAATTGTCCTTAGAGATTTTTCAATAGCTCTTGAATCATTCGAAAGCTGACCAAGAAAAACCCTTCTGAGTAAATGAGTAATGAGTAAAATTTAAAAATTAAAAAATTAAAAAATTGTTTAGGGTAGTTACAGGGTAAAATAGATTTTACGTTTTCCGGCGCATTTTCCGGCCTCGAATGCGTTCTAAAATTCTGAAAAAAATCTGACACATTCCGGATCCTAAGGCGCATTTTTGAGAATTTTCTCAGATTTTTTTGTTGTAAACTGTGGTCGTAAAAAATTAAAAACCTCAATAAAATCGGAAAAACATTTTTTTCTCAAAAATACGAAGACATGCTATTCTACTGTTTGGTTCCCTGATAAAGTACTATAACAGATAGTGTCGTCAATTTTCTTAAAATTTTTCGTTCGGCTGCTTCATTGTCGAAAACAATAAAAACTCGCAGCAAAAACGTCGAAAAAATTCAGCTTTTATTGTTTTTAATTTCTTACGACCACAGTTTGCAACAAAAAAATCTGAAAAAATTCTCAAAATTGCGCCTTAGGATCCGGCATGTGTCAGATTTTTTTCAGAATTTTAGAACGTATTTGAGACCAGAAAATGCGCCGGAAAGAGCAAAATCTATTTTTCTTGGTCAGCTTTCGAATGTTTCAAGAGCTATTGAAAAAGCTCTAAGGGCAGTTTTGGCTATCTTAATCGGCTAGGCCCTTTGTCCGAGTATTTGCAGAATCGTCGATTAAATGGGAGATTTGTTTTGTTTGCAGCGGACTTGTTGGTGGAACGAAGTCTGCAAGGAGGAATTTCACAGTAAATTTCGATGTCGTTGTCCGCGGTGGTCTTATTGCCGTGCCCCTGGCAGATACTATGACGCGCATTGCAGCATGACGCGTACCGGTTACATATGGACTCAACCGGAGACTTCGTTGGCGCTCGAAGTCAATAAATGATTCGCCTTATACGAATCTTTTCATTAGCTATTCTCTTCCGAAATAAACGATTCAGGGTATATCGAATTCGCGTTTCCGAGTAGTCGATCTTCATAGAAATTGTTTCTGTCTAATGTTGATATCGTTTCGATTTTCATTTGAAATGTTCTTATATATTAGCAAGTTCATTTTGCGGAACGAAATTTAACGCGCACGAATCGTTACTCGCTTCTTATTTTATTTCGAACTTTTTCTTTCTCTACCGCTTTCACTTTCCACTTATCAAACAGAAATGTAAAAATGCAAATTTTAATCAAAGTTAAATATATACATACAATTATAATATCTAAACAAAAATTCTCTCAATTGCACCTAAATGTATTTTTTTTTGTTTCTTCTTACACGCCAAGAAAAAAAGAATAAAGTTATATCTTGTGTTTTTATTTAAAATATATCGATGTATATATAGTGCATATTTAAATATATGTACTGTATATCTCGTAAATTATAAGTGAATATAATTCCTCTCTTATACATTATAACTATAAATTATGTGATCTTTTAATTTTTTTAAATTAAAAATGTACGAAACGCAGGAATTCTAGTTCGCTTTTTATATGCAGATCACTGAAAATATTAATTAAAGTTTTTTATTAAGTACGTTAGAAACTGTTACAAACTTATGTTTACCACCAGGGTATTAAAACGAGAGTACTTAAAATATATTGCGACATTGAAATTAATAAGACGAGAGGTAGATTTTAAATCAATGATCTATACACGTTAAGCAAAATTCTTTTTTTATGAGCATGAAATATAAACTATATTAGTAGTTAAAGTACTTGTACATATAAACATCTTAGAGCATATCTGTTAATAAAAGTCGTGCAATCATGGCGAATGAATTCTGACAATGAAATCTCGTAAATATCATAATCACCGAGATAGAGACAATTTTTCCATTGCGAACTTTAGGTACAACCTCGATCTAGATTGTTATATATTTTTAGAAATTTTTTACATTGTACAAATATATAAATAAATAATTATTTTTTTTACGTTAAAACCAACTAGATTGATAGTAATTATTCTGTGCTATATAATTTGTACTATCTCCATAATTATAATTACTTATGAAAAATTACATATACAATATATTTATAGTATATGCACTGTGGGCGTAATAAAATTATCAGCGGTTTTTAAATTATTTTAGATATAACTATAAATATCTAAAACTAGTTTCATTTATTGCAATCAATTCCGTTTTTAATTGAAAATATTTTTACTTTTAAGATATACCATAAATTATTAGACCTTATTCTCCCTCTATTTCATACTTTTATATTTTGATTGAAAATATATTTGATACTTCAACATATTCGTATTTCTTAAATGCTAATATATGAAAATTAAAAAGAAAAAATGATTTTAAATATTAACAATTTAAATAAAGATCTTGTTATATACACATTTGAGATAAACGAAACTTCAAAATAATGATTATTGAATACTTTGATGTGTTCGTTTATACATATTTAAATTCATAAATACAAAAATATTTCTTCTATTATCTGATATACATTTAATATTCGCTACGGTTCCGAAAATGTAACTTTTCTTGTAAAATTATTGCACTACTGTAACAGAAGAAATAAATAAATAGCTGAAATGATATATTAATATTTAAAATACCTTTAGATGATAAAATTTAATTTGGCGATACCATCAAAGTAGTCAATAGAATAAATACAAATTTATGAATAGATAAATTACAGTTAATATCAATATGTGATAAAAAGTAAAGGGCTAATCACGTCCTATCACTGGAGAACTCCCCACTTACAGAAGCTTCGAATTTAGAGGAAACGTGGTTGATAAGAATTGTTATGCTGTCCTTGTGAGTTCATGATTTGGTACTTAAGAAGTAAATCGTGTGTAAACATCGCTGAAACGAATATTGATATTGACGCCTGCACAAGCGTGACGTCGTGCTTGCGTGAATAACGGGTTGCCTGCTGCTAGGGGCAAATAGGTCACTTCAATTAGTTCTGTTTTTTTTTTTCGAATTTGTTTGATCTGTGTTGAAATTTCCGATTATATTAAGAGACAAAGTGTGCAATAGACTATTTATTATATAGCTATTTAAAACAGCTCTTAATGACCTTCGCATAACGTCTTAGACAACGAGCGATGTTTATGCACGAGTCACCTCATTGATAGTTTTAGTACACGCAAAGCAATATTAATTCGTGTTGATCTGGATCAACCAATTGAACTCATCAACAAGACTAATCTACAATAGCAGATCATGTCTTAGATGAGAAGCTAATCATTTGAACAACATAATCAAACTAATTAAGTACTAATAAATGAACGATCTAAGACATAATCTACTATTGTAAATAAATTTTACTCGCGAGTCCAGCTAGTAGATCTAAGCTAACACTTACTAATATTGCTATTATTACTCTATTACAAATATAAATAATCAAATTTCTTTTTGAATACATTAGGGAGTACATTACTTCCAAAAGGTAAGTGGTCTGAGCTTCTTTTTTGATCTCTGAAATATCCCGAAGATAATCTTATTATAATTTCTAATCAACATAGTCGTCGTCGTCATCATCAACAAATCTAATGTCCATATCAAAAAACGATCCTTGCTTTATGCAAAGTGTTTCGATCCCGAAATCTGGGCTTTGAATATTTAACGAAGCATCGATATCTTTGTTATTCAGTTTTTTGATCTGAGCAAAATTTTTTAAAGGACTACCTGACAATTCCGTCATAGGAATGTTTACCACGTCCTTTTTGTTTTCGAACGACTGAGTGCAATCCATTAATTCTTTATATTTGCACTGTCCGTTTCTTGTATCCTCATCTTGATCTTTGATTAGTTTCTGATCCGAGTTCTGGTTTACGTTTGGAAAATTTCCTTGGTAAACTTTCTTTGGAGTAAGATTCAACTTTTCTTTATTGTCTTCATCGATATGAAGTATGTTTATAGGGCTTCCAAGAACGCTTTTAGAAGAATTAGATTCCTCGACTGGTTCTTCATCTCTACCTATACCGATCCTATCAAAACAAAGAAAGTGATAAACGTTGAAAGAAAAATTACGATTTCGATAATAATTTTGTAATTTTATATTTTTCCCATTGCATATAAATAAATCTTATCAGCTTACCTTCTGTTTGGAATAACACAATATTGTTTATGTTCGAGAATTCCAGATACAGAGTCCATGCTAACTTTAATACTAGAATCCGCTAAGAGTTTTCGCACAGGAAGTAATTTCTCGTATGCCCTTGTCCTGGAATTTCCAGAAGCTTCGTCGCGAATTAAATTTTCATAATCAAAACTTCGGCAACTTATCTCTTCGTTCTTAAAATATTTTTCGCTATCAACATGAAACAGTTATTGTCACTAAAGCCAATTGTATATCCCGAAACAATTTAATGGTATTAATGAAACACTGCAATACAAATATTTGTATTATTTACCCTTGCTCGAAGTCAAATTCGAATTCTTGGAAACTAGACAGTTTCATTTTTCTATACTCGGATGGTGTCAATGCAACGCCCTCGGTTTCATGAGTCAGAATGGAGTTTCTTTTGCTCCTGTAAATAAATAAATATTTTATCCGATCTACAGTGCGTACTTGAGTAATAAAAATTGTGAATTACCCTAAACAAAGTTCCTCTGCGTCAAGTTTGATCTCTTCGATTGGTGGAATCCAAACTAAAAAAGCAGGATCCATTCCTAGGTAAGAGCCAGGAACAGCGCTAGCATTTGCTACATTATAATCGTAGTAGTCTAATTCTAATTCCGAATCAGGATTAGCCAGACTAAATTCTGATCCCGGTCGTTGCATAAGTTTCTCCCAATTTCTTCTTTCTTTCGTTTCTTTTCCACTCCCCAAAGTCGATGGACTCGAAAGGACACTTCCAAGAACAGATTCCTACGTGTTTGAGAATGTTATTAAATATTTAACTACCTCTAGTATTTAATAATTCATGAAACGTACCTTTTCTTCTGAATAATTAGTTTCATTGCTTCCTTGTGTTTTCAAAGAATTATTGCTTCTGTTATCTTGCAATCTTTCAATTTCTACTTTCAACGTCTTTTCTTCCGGACCATTAAAATCTATAGTTTGCAATCTGCGCAATAAATATGTAAGGTGTAAGCTCTTATACGTTTAAATGTTTTAAACATGGTAATGATAATAAATTAAGCGATCGAAATATTCTGAATGCGAAATTGAACTCACTTTACAGGATAGGCATATTTGACTTCGGGTTTGTTATAAACAAGGATACTGGAAGCTAATAATAATTTATCACAATGGGATTTCGTTGACGTTATGGTTTTATCGGAAGAAGTTTCCACGGTTTCGTTCAATTTTAATGTACTAGAGCTCAGCGTGGCGCCGTCATTGTATCTATAGTTAAGAAATAATACTTGCTCTTCAAAATGGACAATATGTTTATATCGTAACAGAATTTCGAAATTTCTTAATATCCTTTGGAACTAGTTACTTGATTTCTTACCCAGTTAAAGTCTCGGTACTATTATATTGTTCTTCCGTATTGCACAAAGTATCTTTCGTTGAATCTTTTACGGTTGCCTCTATCATTGATATCATGTCAGAAATAATTGTACTTGTGGACAGAAACTTGAATCTCCCAGGCATTAGTTCTAGTTGCGATACAAAATTTTAAGTAATAGTTCGTTATAGTAATTTCTAACGTGTAATATTATTTAACAAGAGTATTTAACTGTAGAATGATAGACGAACATAATAAAGAATACAATTACTTATTTTTACCGGAAACATCGCTGAAAGTGTCCAGATCCTCGGCGATACGATACTTTCTGTATTTTATAATGAACTGCAAAGTCAAGAAGATAGAAATGACGAACATCAGGATTAAAAGCAAAGCAGTTACTAAATGCGCTGGTTTCCAAAAAATCCATTCCTTTTCAATGCTCGTTGGATTCGTTTCAGAAGGCACGACGGTTATACTACTTCCGTTTCTTTTTAAATACTTTTTATCTGCAATCGAATCACAGTGAGTTTCGCAATCTTTTAATCGCTTTAAATTATATTTAAACGAGACAAGACTGAAATGAGATGCGTTAATTACCTAGTACAGTTGCATGAGCAAGAAAACCACCGATGCAACTGTCTCCGGATGCCGTGAGTTCATCGCTAAAAAATTCCAATAGCAAATTGTCTCCACTGCTAATCACTGTCTTTGCAGTGTGTTGCGTTTTACCCAAAGAAATATCGGTCAAGAGATCCGCGTTTAAAGAATTCCCATCTCGGACACGAAAGTATTGTCCCGGGCAAGGGAATTGCAGCTGGTCTAAATATAATCCAATTACGAAATCCGTCTGCGCCTAAATGAATGAAATTAAATTAAAATGGTATCGATTTAGATTAAAAGTGATATCGGCATAATTTTATATTATATCGTTTTGGGAGTTGTAATGTTACCTGTAGGAGCCAGAAAGATCGACCAGGGCATGCTTGAGTATTGGCTGCAAGTATTTTTCTAGAGAGTTGTTCTTGCAGCATAACGCGGCACCCGCATCGACATTGAGGCCCAATTTCAGCCGCGATTTCCGGTTTTGTTACAGCTAAAGCTGCACCGTGGCATTCGGAACCTTCTATTTGATTGGACAACTCGTATTTATTAAAACCTTCCGAAAACATTTTACCGCACAACTCGGTTTCTACTGCCTTTCCCTATAAATTCAGGCTAAGTCATATTTATTCGTTTTATGGTTAATTTGAGTCAATTTTGTAAGGGGAGAAATGGGTTTAGGAGGAAGTCTTTTTAGTGATTTGCATGAATTTTTGTATTTTTATTATGTAGCTAGAAAACGTAGTCCTAAACCTATTTCGTCCCTCAAGGATAGATTTTGAGTGAGCTATTAATTATTGAATTATTGAATTATTTAATTATTGAATTATTGAATTATTTAATTATTGAATGAAATAGTAGAGGTAGACGTACGTGGCAAAATTTAGCTCCATACTTTGGAGGAGGAGTGTCGCAAAAACGATAGCGATTTCGAATTCCTCCGAAGCACGAGCTGCTGCAAGGACTCCAAGAACTCCAAGGACCCCAACCAGGAGCATCACCTTCATTTAACAAACCACATTGCGAAAATTAACGAAATTTCAAATGTGAATAACATATTGTAGCAAGTATTAGTTTGCCTGGAAAGTCCATGCCGATTTTTGGTAGGTGGTACACGTCTGTTTATATTGGAATGGTTGAAAACATTCAACATGGGTGTAAAGGTCCACCTTAAAAGGTGGAAAGGTCGTGGAACAAAATGCTACTTATATAATTCAATAAATATATATATAAATATATGTATATTCAATAATATATATCAAAATTGAAATGTGGCTTTGAATTTTTCTTAAAAATTGCCACGAACTTTCTGGACAGCCCAATATTTCAAAAGCTGTGTTGCGAAAGGTAGTTCTACCTTGAAATGGAAACGTAGGTATACAAGATATCGTGACATCCATCATGGCACCGGTGATGGCCTGGCTAACGTAGACGAAACAGTATTCGACAAAGGTTTCGGTGAATAGATCGCAATCGAAAGTTAAGGAGTGTCTGCCGGGTATCGATCTGGATTCCGTAATGTAATGGAGACTGGATGGCGAAGCAACTGAAGTAACGTCGGCTTTCAAACGGCCGTAGACACGGACACGATCGCCTTCCAGGCGACAGGAAGGATATTCGAAAAGGACGGCTACACCTCCCAGCCCTTCGCAAGGGTATATCGACCTTGCATGGACCGTCAATTTGAAGTCTTCCGACCAATACACCTGAAACCGATTTCCGAGGATATTATTAAAAAATGTTGTTTATATGTTGTTTATATTTCTACTGGTATTTAATAGAATAAAAGTGTTTAATATAATATTAGGGTGTCCCAAAAGTTTCTTTCGGTTTATTAACAAGTAATACACGCACGATAGTTTATGTTTTATGTTACATTATTGAATTGTGCACGATTCATTTTGCTCCATTACAACATGAATATCTATGAAATTAGATCGTCTATTTATATAAATACGACCACAGAAAATAGTTGAGTGTAACTCGCGAATGAAACTTTCGGGACAACCTAATACAATAACAGAAAACTCTGATCAATCAACGCGTAGCCTATTCTACTGCGGCTGTCTATCGCATAGCTTATTCTATTGCCTGGCGCTCCAATGAAACATTCTCATGTACAAGTGCGATAAAGCAGCTGCATGAATTGATACTTAATTGATTTATTTCCGTGGTATTTACCTTGAAATAAACACTGGTATTTGGTGCCGTCGGATTGACGTTGGAGGCTTTCAATCTGATCGCATAATTTCCAGGCAGTCCGAAAAATTCACACCGGAAGAGAATAGTCTTCGGCGGTACGAAACCTCTTATTTCCTCGTAATATAAAATCTGAGATGGTAGAACAAAGTATTAATTAACATACTCTGAATACCAAGTTCATTTTTCAGTTATTTGTTGTGGCATTAAATATTAATGTGAAATAAAGGAATCGAATAACGGAGTAAAACTGTTACCGCTCACTTGAGTATGAGTGTTATTCTGTAAATAACAAGCGGTCACGCTGGACCCGCAATATATCAATTGTAAAATATAGACAGCTACAGGAACATTTTCCGTTGGACTGCAACTCGTTCCATCGTATTTTACAGTGGTCGTGACGCGTTTATTTGGGTAAGTAGCTATTCGTTGGGATTCTAAAAAGATTGTAGGGGTCGGCCATTTCACGTCCAATATTTTACTCGTCTGCGAACAAAATACGGCACGTTTTACAATACTGAAATAATTATCGAGGGATGAAAACACGTAGATAAAAATTGTACGACCTGATAGAGGGAGGCAATAGGCACTGAAGAATTTTTGTATTTGTACTCTACTCGTAGAGCGTATATACCACCGCGAGTGAAATATCCGCAAGGTATATTAATCGAAATGGTCTCGTTCCTCGATGGCAATTTTTCCAATCGAATCTCACCGATTAATTCTGATATGTTATCGAGAAGGTACAATATTCTAAAAAACAATCCGAGATTAATACACAACATCCTATTCTTTTATTTCTATTTCTATTTCGGAAAATAATTTCTTGTTCTAAATATTATATTGAATTTCATTGAATTGAATATTTTATGTCATATAATGTTATGAATATTATGTTATATATTACATTATATAATGAATATTTTATTGAATTTTATTGAATTTCATTGAATT